GAGGTAGTGGGTGGAATACGCGAAGAGTCATCCATTTCTGAAAATGAAACAGAAAACAGTGAGCGATAAGTTCGTTCGGAAGTACAAAGCCGAACTATTCAATTTTGTTCGACACTCAAATTTCAAACATATTGAAATTGTTCGACAGACTAAGTCCGAATAGTTTATTAAGTTCGACACTAAAATTTCGAACATATTGAAGTTATTCGATAGAAACACTTCGAACAAAAGGTTAATGTTCGACAGACCAATGTCGAACGGTTTGCAAAATCAAACTTTCATATACAATGCCACTGGTTCACAAAATCAAACATTCATATACAATGCTCATGGCAATGGAAAAACGTACATAAAACCCTCAAATCTAAGCAAAATGAGAATTCTCACCTACTATACCTCCAATGTAGAGTTGTTTCCACCGGCGTCTCTGATGAAACAAAGAATAGTGGAGAATGGGTCTTCACCACGGGCATCTTTGATGAAACAGAGAATGGATGAGGAGATGGAAGATCGTTGGTGGGGTGTGTGAGTGAGTAAGGGTGAAGATGGAAGATGTGGGTGGGGTGTGTGAGTAAAGGTAAAGATAGAAGATTGTGGTGTGTATTGAACAAATTTTGTGTTTATCAAATTACTAAAGGTGTGTCTTGAGTAGTAATGTTCCTTGAGATGAAAGATGGTGTGTAAATAGAGGCACCCTACCAAATTACCTTCTTCCTAGCAAACTAATTAACCCAAACTCCAACCACTGCCACTAACGGTCATTGTCTCACACCCATTTTCCAACTGTCTCTCTTCCTCGTCACCCCTACCCAACCTTTCCCTCCAATAGCTACCTTCTAAGCTTCATCTTTTTCTTTTCTTCTTTTTTTTTTTTTTCTTCTCTACCCTCTCTCTCCACTACCAACCGCTTCCCATCGACCATCATTGTCGATTTCAACCCCCTTCCATTGCTCCACCACCATCACAGTCATATATTCGCGACTTACCACCTCTACAGTCTCGTTATATCTCTTTGATGCACCACCCTTGCATTTCCCAGCCCCGCAACCTTTACTCCATAGCGAGCGAGATATATATATATGTGTGTGTGTGAAGAAGAAGAAGAAGAAGAAGAAGAAGAAGGAATGGTTGAGGGTGATGGCGGTGGTCGCCCTCTCAACTAGAAACCCTAGATCTAGAAAGGATAAGGAGGATGAGAAGAAAGAAGAAAAAGAGAAGGACGAGGAGGCAGTGTCGGGGAGATATAAAGATAAGCGACCGAGGCTGGAGAGGTGGCGGTGCCAAAGCTAGAGGTGAGGCGGCGGCTAGCGGTGGTGTGTATGCAGGGCCGGCCCTGGGCTAAGGCGAGTAAGGCCTGTGCCTAGGGCCCCCAAAATTTGGCCCAAAATAAGGCCCCAAATTTTGAAGATCCATTATACTATCAAGTTTAAATAAAGTTTAATTATTGTTAGAAGCCCTCAAAAACAAAACAACCCACTAAAATAGAAGCCCTCCAAAATAAAACAGCCCACTATAAAAAGCCAAAATAAAAACATGTTGCAGGCCTATATTAAAAACAAATAAAAAAATTAGTCCAATTGAAAAAACAAACAAAGGCCTCAAATTTACTCAATCAAACTTGAGTGGTCACTAGCAAATATATATATATTTTTTTTTGGGCGTATGTACAAGGGAAGGGGCCCAAACTTAGAAGCTCGCCTAGGGCCCTGAATTCTCAGGGCCGGCCCTGTGTGTATGTGTGTATAGAGAAATTAAGGTTTAGATTTTTGTCCAACAAAGTAATTTGTTTTGAGGGATAAATCTATAATTAAAAAAAAAAAGATGGTGGCTACTGAGAAAATAAATTGTGGGCAAATAGAATTATTCATAAGTTTATGTTTGAACATTTGAGTTTTATTCAGAAATTTATATCTAAATGGCAAAAATGATGTGTAGTAAGATTTCATGTGGTGTGCCAATAGAAATTTTCCCTATGAAATAGGTAATAAATTTTTAAGACAAAAAAAATACCCCCTCTAACATCTCAAATTTACCACCCAAAAAAAAAAATTGTCATTTTTCTTAATATTCTTCTTCCCGTCTCCTTTCTGCATGATCACCATCCTCAACAATTTTATCTTCTCCCTCATGGCAAAACTACCATCAACACCTGCGAGAATTGTCGGAAAACATCATCAACTACCTCACCAACCACTGCATCAATCTACAACCACCAAGCACCATTAACATTAAAACACATTACACACAAGGACAATATAGTCATGACAAGGAAACTAGCAGCCGACAAAAAATTTCTTCAGGTAAGCTACACCACAAAATGGTAAAGTTAAATTTTCCCAAAACACAAAAACAAAAAAGTTGAACTTTATACTATCATCATCACCCTTTTCCCTTGTAATGTTGGGGAGCATCAATTCATCATATTGACATCAATAAAAATACTAGTCACAGAATAAGTAGAACTGATCTAAGCTTACTTTGATTGGCTAGGTAAAAACAATGTCGAATCCATTCATCCATTAAAAAAAATAATAATAAATAAAATAAAAAAAACTCATTAAACGAGATCACCACATACACATGCCAAGATAATTCTCCCACTGGACTGTGTTTTTCGGTATTCATTTATCAATTTTCTTTCCATATCATTTTTTCAAATGTGTTGGTGTGTTGCTGTGATTTTCTCTTTATTTCTTATATGATTAATTTTGCATATCTCCATGTTGAAATAAGAGAAGCCAAAAGGCTACAAATACATCACACCCCAGAGTGGCTCAACAACAGGATTAGGGTGGCTTCGTCATTACATTGTTTATGTAGCCCATCTTCCATGATATCTAACTTTTGATACTCAAATTATTCAAGATTGAGATATCTAAAACCATGTGTTAATATTCGCTGTTCATGAAGCTGTCATTGTTAAGATGCGCAGAACATTTCATTTGGGGGCAAGAGAATATGCAATTCAAAAAAGTTCTATACCCTAAAAGAGTAACAAGAAGAAAAATTGAAAGAACACATTCTCACAAACAGGATGAATGTTTGGGATCAGCTAAAAAAAACTTTGGTTAAACAAGCCAAAAAGCTGAGTATCAATTTAGGTAGAGTGGTATACAAAGAATATCCAGCCAACACAGTGCCAAGACATCCAGATTCTGTGAGCATAGTTCTAAATCGCGGTATCGGGTAACGTAACGGTATCGATCGCGGAGTCTCAGTATCGGTAGTATCGGCCGGTACGTATCGGGAATCGGGTGTCGCGGCCGTGAAATTTTAAAAATCATTAGCAATCCCTCTAAAACTCAATTTTATGCATTTTCTTTCTAACATGAAAATATATATATATATATATAATAAAATGAAAGGAAGGGATGGAACAACTCTTCTGATGCTGAACAATATTACTCAAGTCATAGGGAAATGAAAATGTGATGTAAACACCAATGCAAGCAAGTCATCTGCTTATTTCTATTGAAAAAAATTTCTTTACACAACCCTTCCCAATTTCGAGCAAATTTTTCTTATTTTAGGGACTTCTACTCTAATGACACCTAAAAAAATGCTTCGAATTTGAAAAAAGCTCACTAAAAAAAAACAAACCAAGAACAAATTTCAACATAGCCTGCTTGCCTGTATCATTTCGGTGTACGAGCTTCGTTGCTAAAATGTCCTTGTTGGATGTCATGAAAGGAGTGTAATCCTGTAAAGAAGCTGGACAATTTATTGTGTGACAATATACACCTGATTATTCAATAATTACACCTCTCAGATTCAAGTCCACAAGCCAAAGACCTCAAATATTCTCCCAGTGGAAAAAGGTCATTGCTATGTTATTTCAAAACATCCTCCAAACATGCATAGTCAATAATGCAAACAAAGAAGCAAAGCATATTTCCCAAGTCAAATTTAGGCAAATTCTTCTTCCACCTGAAAGAATTTTCATGAAAGAATCTACTATTTTATTGAGTGTATCATACCTGAACAGCAAGTAAGTGGCCTCCCACCCACAGCTCCCTGTCTCATCTAGCAATATTAAATTAGCACAACACTAGTTATAGCAACTGAAGAGACTCTCATTCTTACAAAAATCTCCAATGTGTCAAATTACAGGAGTAGTTCAATTTTGATAAATGTTATTACCAGAGATGTAGGACTTTTAAGGGGAGTTAATACACAAATATACAATGAACATGCAAATAACACAGTTAAACATTTAGCACTTAAATTCTTTTAATATGCTTTACCGAGCCGAGCCGAGCTTTGCTGAGCTCGAGCTCGGCTCGATAAGGAGCTCAGCTCAAGCTTGGCTCATTTACTTATCGAGCTCGTTTATTAAGCTCGAGCTTGGCTCAATAAGAAACTAGGCTCGAGCTCAGCTCGGGTTGGCTCGTTAACATTAATAGAACTCGAGCTCGGCTCGGCTCAGCTCAATTAATTTTTTTAATATTATTTATATTATTTAAATACAAATATTTAAATAAAAAATATTATTTATATTATCTATTATATAAATAATGTATTTATATTATTATTTATATATATTTATATATATTATTTGATATATAAAAATATATTTATTATATAATTTAAATAAAGATAAACGAGCCGAGTTTATGCGAGTTCGAGCTCAGTTCGTTTACTAAACGAGCCTAATATTCGAGCTCAAGTTCGGCTCGTTTACTAAACGAACCGAGCCAAGCTGAGCCCTTAACGAGCCGAGCCGAGCTTATTCATGAATAGCTCGGTTCATTTGCAACCCTGAGCAAATTGAAGTCCTTGTTCTATAATTCCTCTAGTCAGATAATTAAGCCCAAACAAAGGCATACAGATGATTAAACAAAGGAAAACTACTTTTCATTTGAAATATTTACCCAAGTGTCAAACCAAAATAGGAAAAGTAATCATTTTACGTGGTAACTTCCCTCTTAATGCCAATGCACAGAAATAATGACACTGTAAAATGAGGAATCACAATCATATGTGCTTGACTCTACCAAAAAAAATAGAAAGGATGGCTCGAAACTTTGAAGTTGAAATTTATAGTACAGTACAAAGATCAGCAAATCTACATGTCAAACAGTACTCTACACACGACTAAAACCTACATAGAAAACACACTTAGTGAACAAGTGAAGAGACCCAATGAAGCACAATATCAGAATTTAAGAAGATAGTATGAACTGATGAGCAATACTCTGAATGATGAGCCTAGCCAACCTCATGTTGAGCTACAAGACTAGTTCCACGGGATAGTTATCTATGCAATCCTCCCAGGGACCATTACAAGACGGCTTCACATTCTGAAGTGCCTGCCAGACTGCACTATTACATTTGAAACCACTCCCAAATGCAATCTGCCAGATTCGGTTCCCTTTGCGCATCCTCCCCTTAGCCTCAATATATGCCAATTCATACCAAATGGAACTCGATGAAGTGTTCCCAAATCGGTGTAGAGTCATTCGAGAAGCTTCCACGTGCATCGGCAGAAGCTGCAAATTCTTCTCTAGTTCATCAATCACAGCCCTTCCCCCGGCATGTATGCAAAAATGATCAAATGCCAGCTTAAAATCCGGGATATAAGGCTTTATATTTTTCCTTTTAAACAATTTCTTAACCACCAGAGTAGCAAAGAACAGAAGCTGCTCGCTAACTGGGAGCACAAGAGGACCCAATGTAGTGATGTTGGTTTTAAGAGCCCCACCGGCAATTGCCATGAGGTCTTTCGACAAGGACACACCAGTCTTCCCAACATCATCCTGCTCTTGATAAACACATCGAAAAGCCTTGTCATCAGCCCCCTTGTGGGTCCTCACAACATGAACAAGCTTATACTTAGCCCGCCTCCTATCAACAGACTTATTCGATAACAAAACCGCAGAACCCCCAACCCTAAACAAACAATTGGGTATCAACATAGACTTGTTATTCCCAAAATACCAATTCTGAGTAATGTTTTCAGTACTAACAACAACAGCACAAGTGTTCCGATGAATTTGCAACAAGTCCTTAGCAAGATCAACGGCAATTACCCCTGCACTACAACCCATACCCCCCAAATTGAAACTCCTGACATTTCCCCTCAGTTTATACTTATTAACAATCATAGCAGAAAGCGAAGGGGTCGGATTAAACAAACTACAATTGACAACAAGAACACCAATATCCTTAGATTTAACATTAGTATTAGCAAATAGATTGTCCAGAGCACCAAACATGACTTGCTCGGCCTCATCTCTCGCAGCCGCCATGGACGGTTGCGGAGGAATGGAATGCATAGCTTCGGGGAAATACGTTTCCTCGCCGAGCCCCGAACGCTCCAAGATCTTGCGTTGGAACTCAAGCGAGGACTCGTCGAAGTCCCCGGTAAGCCTGGAGTGGTTCATGAACTTGTGGTACGAGGCTTTGAGGTGATCAGGGGCACGATAACAAGCATAATCAACGAGATAGACTTGTTTAGGACGAGTCATGATGTAGACAGTGGATACGAAGACCAAAAAAACAGAACAAATTACAACGCTGAGGAGATTGTACTGAAGATGAACCCATAATTGGTGAATTTCATCAGGATTCATTTGGGAAGACTCGAGTACTAACATAGCCATTAGGGGTATGAGACAGAGAGTTAATAAATTCGAGATCACGTAGTGATAACCTAACTTCACGTACTTGAGATTCACGCTCTGGAGGAAATCAGGTAGTCTTCGAGGGTGCTGGATCTGAACCCCAACCGCCGCTCCGCCACCGCCACGAACGCCGCCGTGCACGGCGTTGACTTGAGAATCCATTTTATATGAAGAAATACGCGGGAATTTTCAGATTTTTTATTGCAAAATTGAAGGAATCGGAGAAAGAGAGGGGTTTGGTAATGATGAGAATGAGAAGTGTGGGAATTTGGAGATGATGGGATAATAATGGCGGTTAAATAACCGTTCCGATTTGCCGAGCGTATGCGGAGGGAAATATGTATGGTACATCAAACTTGTTTTCATGTATGTTAGGATTTGGGGTGCCTGCTGTTGTGCAGCTCTATGAACTTATTTTGGTATTCGTTTTGATAATTTGAATCGATCATATTTTAGAGTATATTGAGTAAAATATACTTGTAAATTATTAAGTTAATCAAATATTGTTAATCCTGTCATCAACTCATATTTGTATTTTTAAAAATAAATGATATTGTAATTTAAAATATTAAAATAAATACAAATGTGAGTGGATAAAAATGTTAACGATATCTGATTAACTTAATTTTTTATGTACTCTAAAATATAAATAGTACGAATTATAAAAACGAATCCCAAAATAAATCTATAAAACTACACAATAGCGATTGCTATGCTGTATGGTTACCTAAATACATGTGAACCAATAGATTTGGATAGGAGTCTTATCACTAAAAATAGATAGGAAATTAAAGTGGTTTTTCAAAAGTTAAAGTGATTTTAGTTAATTTGATAATGAAAAAAATAGATCTTACTATTTATTACAAATATATTTACTATTTATCATTAACTCATTTACTACTTATTATAAATAAACTTACTATTTAAATATAAATAAAATACAATTCAACAATACGACCACTTAATCAGGTCATCTTTCTTATCTTGAAAGTTGTGCTTTTTTTTATTATAAATTAAATTTACACAAAGTCAATAAAAATTTTAAAATAAAAAATCACATCACACCACTGATTTTACCATAACTTTCGGTGATCTATACATATTAGATTAAACAATAATGACAAAGAATTTTAATTTTAAAATTTTAAAAAAAAATTTAGTGATGTGATAAGAAAAAAAAAAATAAAAAATATATATATTTATATATCACATTATTATTCCTTATCACATCACTAAAATTTTTTTAAAATTTTAAAATTAAAACTTTCAAACCTTAGCGTAGATTAAAATACGATTTTAAGATATGGTACACGAAAACCATTCTTGTGTACAGTAGTCAGAAAAGGCGAATCTATACATACATGAATACGAATCCGCATGCGAGTCTGAAGTGAAGTCTATGACTTCTGATTCATGAAAGGGACGGGCACCGCTGACTTTCAACCCCATACACGATTCATTATTAATGTTTTTTTTTTTTTTTTAAGTTTTTTATTTATTTTTTTTTTCACTTTTGCTTAAAGCTCTTTATATTTTAATTTTTTAAATTTATGCTTAAAATTAATTTATATTTAAAAATAGAAAAAAAAAATATCATATTATTTGTCACATAACAAAAAAAATATATTATATAAAAATTTGAGTTTGTATTAAAAATATGAGTTATATATAATAACATATTTTTGTATCACACAACTATCAATATATTATTTTGGACACAAGTTATTTTTAGAGTTGATTAGATAAACTTGAAAATGAAGGGCCAAAGTAAAAACAAAAAAACAAAAAACAAAAAAAATTGAAAGCCAAAGTGAAGATATGACTAAACATAAAAAAGGACAAAATCTAATTTATCCATTTATTCTTTTTTAAGGATTGTCAAAATTCCTGAAAATATTACATCTGAATTTATTCAAAATAACATGGTAGGAAATTATGTCATGGATATTTAACTCTTAAACAAATTAATAATTGATCTATAACAATCTATGTCATTAGGTTAGCCACCTAAATTTTATCAAATTTTTAGTGTCGCAATATTATTTTATTTTTTAACTCTTATAATATTTATAGAATTAAAAATAAAAGCTCGATTCAACTATTCTAAGTTCACAATCTTAAAAAAAAAAAAAAAGAGGCTGATAGTGCATCAATTACCCCTAGTTATCAAATTATGTATGATTTTGACACTGCTTGTTCCTTCTAAAATTGGGCTTCTTGTTTTTAATTTTTATTTTCTCTCTCTTTGAATTTTTTCACCTCACCTATGCTATGTCAATTAAAATGAGTTGGACCCCCTCAAAGAGGCACCCCCTTTGACCCCCTCTCTTTCTGATTGGCCAGTTTTTCTTTTTTCTTTTTCTTTTTTTCCTTCTCCTCCAATCACCACCCGCCACGTGTGTGTGGGGTGGTGAGGGTGGTGATTGGAGGAGGTTTCAATCACTTTCCTTAAAATAATTTCAGTGGCACACTACTCATGATAAGACTTTCATGCGAAAAGAACAGGCACTTAAGTTATTTTTTTGGTGAGAAGGACAACACACCTACTACACAGCCGAATTACCCAAAATTCCTAATGATGGTTTTATCAAATTTTAAAATATTATAAATTTTTTTTTTTAGATGTCTATTGCTGATAAAATTGCTGTTGTTTAAACTCTTTCGTTAGAATATATCAAACAAGACCTATATTGAATGAAAAATTCTAAAAATAATTATCAAATTTCAGCATGTTTTCTATTTGAGACAATGAAATTTTACTGTTTGTAGTCAGTAAATTTTAGCAAGCCCATTGAATTGCTAAACTTTTTTACAAACTTTATATTCTACAAGACTACACAAATTGGAAAAACAAAAAAAAAAAAAAAAAAAAAAAAAAAAAAAAAAAAATACTACTTACATTAAAAGTTGAAAAATAAAACAGAGTACTATTTTGACCTACCAACCACCTAGCTACCAGTCTTGAAGAGACACCTACAATTGAATTTTTTTTTTTAATTTGTTTTTATTTGTTTGTTAGTTTTCTGGTAATAACTTGTTAACATTTCTGTATTAATTACTTCTTTTTCTTTTTTTTTTTATTATTGTGTTGTTAAAATTGTGGTATGAATTGGATTTTCCCTTGTGTTTGTTTGTTGCTGGAAACCTTGGAGCCTAAATCAGTTATTTTGATGATGCGTCATGTTTGGTAAATCAGTTATTTTGATGATGTGTCATGTTTGGTAATCGCCAAACTTTTCTAATTTCGGGCACCAAATGGCTTTGCCAAAGAAAAATGCTTGGGAGCACTAATTAGTGCTCCCACTAATTAGGTGGCAGTGGGTCCCGCCATTAATGATGTGATGTTTTAGTCTTGGAGTTGTATTTTTTTTTTTTTTACTTTTTTAATGCATTAGTGCTATTAGTGATGATGTTTTTAGTGAGATGAATCATTGTTGCTTTGCCAAATTTTAGCAGGAGGGATTGTAACCCTCTGGAGACCTATTTTTCTTTACTCTAGTGAAATTTTGGTAATAGCAAATCTAATGGTATGCTATTGAAAATGCTATAAGATATATTTAAAATATGATACGAATATATTGTCAGTATAACATTATTGTCTAATTTAATAAATTGAAAATATTATATGATATTTTTCACGAGTTGCTTCTAGTTAATAACGTAGTAAAAGAAAAAAAATGTGTAAGTAAAATAATATTGACTCACTTTTACTACATAGTTGAGAAATAAATAATGACCCATCTAGTGTGTTGTTCAGGAGTGTAAATTTGGCCCGGCCCACCCGGATCCGGGCCAGCCATGTCAAGCCTCACAGGTTTCCCGCCAAAATTCGGGCCAGTCCTCAGGCTAGAAAATTAGGCCCAGGGGATATTCAGGCCTTGGGCGGGCCAGGCCGGTGGGTCTGAGCTTGGGTTCGAGTTTGGGCAGGGCTTGAACATTTTTTTTCCCTACTTTTTTCACCAAAACTTTATTTTTTCATTAAAAATAACACTGGGCCTCAAGCGAGCCAGGCCTCGGGCCGGGTTTTGAGTGGACTTTGAGCGGACCGATGGGTTGGACCATGGGCAGGTTAGGCTTTAAAATGATGGCCTAGGCCCAACCTTAAGGTCCCAGGCTGGGCTCGAACTAGGACCTAATCGAGTCGAGCCCACCCTGGGTCTCAAGCTGGTTTCGAGCCGCCCACGGACCACAAGTTATTTTTATACTCCTAGTGTTATTCAATTTTTTATTTGTCGAGTGCTCTTAAGATCATCTCCAATATATTGTGTTATTTCAATCTTGCCAATACTATATTTTAACATGTTACTGTCAAAATGACATATTTTGAGAGACTCACTCCAATAGTACATATATTATTAAGGAAAATACTTGGAACTCCCATTTTGGGGATTCCATAACCCCAAATGATTGTGATTGGTCATGTGTGTGTAGATTTTTTTTTTCTTTTTCTATCTCTCTGACATGTGTGCGTGGAGTCATAAGAGTAGAGTGTTTGTGGGAGTTTGCATTATTTCTATGTTATTAATCAGCATGATCATTATATAATTTAATTTATACCATAGAATATAATCGTGTCTATCTACTTATGTATATTAACAATGTCTTTAAATTTAATTTTCAATTAAAAATATTATACTCTAATAATTAGTATTTAAAATTTTTGGTTCACACTTATATTAAATAAATTAATTAAAATACATTAAAGAAAAAAAAACATAGTAATCAGTGTTTGTATTTTGAATTACAATTATTGTAATATGATGTTAATATTTTTTTATAGTAATTTATTACTCCCTCTGTCCCAAAATATTATTCCCTTATTCCATTTTTTATTGTCCCAAAAATATTAGTCCATTTTCAAAAATCAAGTACAAAAATAATATAAATTTTTTATTTTTCCTTTCTTTTAAATTCATTAGCAACATAAAAAGTACAATTATGACATTAATATTCCCCAAAAAATGTACTATCAAAGCATAATTTTGGAAAATCAATTTGTTTTAAGTGCAATAATTGTACTATCAAAAAAAGTTTGATTCCCCAAAAGGGACCATTATTTTGGGACGGATGAAGTAATTTTATTGAATTTGTATAAAAAAAAAAAAAATACACATCATGATAATTTTGGGGGCTAATGTTGTAAAAATTTAAAAGGTAATTGTCAAACATTTAGGCCTCGTTTTAGAACATGTTTTTTTAGTAATTTTTTGATTTTTTGATTAACTTATGATGTAAAAAAAACTAGTATGTTTAGGATGATTTTTTGATATTTTAAGAAAATATGTGCAAAAGTAGAGAGAAAATAGAATCTTTGATTTTTTGATATAAATTATTAACTTTTTTACTTCTTTAATAACTTTTTAATTTTTTTGACTAAAATCACCACTTGCC